GGTCTGTGTTGTGTTTTGGTGAGAACAGTGTGTGAGTAGGCTAAAACACTCACAGTCGGTTGAGGGTTGGTGTCTCAATCATTCGCTCTCGGATACAGGCATACATGATTCGATAGTGTGGTCGATGTGCTTGTTTCAGGGCGTATTGGGTGATTCGTTGGATGGTCTGTTGTGAGTGGTTGTTGACTTGACCGAGCAGCTCCTTAAACTGGGCTGGTCCGATGTCAGACATGAAGACCCTTTAAGATAAGGTTCTTACTTCTGCACTCAAAGCCTTCAACGCCATCCTCATTGTCACTTCGTTCAACGTCACTCATCAATTTTTGGAAAAGAATCAATGTATAACAAACGTATAAATTAATCCCTCATCAGAACAAAATGAAATTCAAAAAAGTAAACTTGCAAACACCACGACTTCGCACTCTTCTCATCCAATGCAACAGAATCACAAATAAAACGGCCGAATCTCAGTGTGGCTGAATCCATTACCACATTTGGGGCACTTTCTTTGCCGCGAATTAACCAAATCGTCCAAACAAGACTTGCAAAACGTGTGCATACACTTTGTAAGAATGTGGGATTTGAAGTTGTTGCTGCAGCTGGAACATTTGACGAGAAGCTGTGGTGATTGAAACATCAGCTATCGTAGAATTCATCCAAGAAAACAATACCTTGAGATTCTCATTCTCTTGCTGAAGATACGAGTCGGCCATTTCACTCGTCTTTGGCTGACTGTCGAGTTTCTTCTTCAACACATCAATCTTTTCCTGTAAACGCCGCTGAGCATTTGCATCATCCGCGAGCAGTTTCATTTTTTCTGCGAGAATTCTTTCCGCCTACACAACGAAAGGGTAAGACAGAGCTTGATTCGAAGTACATTACATACCTCTGTGAACTTTGCGTGCATTTTCTCCAGCTTATCCATCAGCTCCAGCTGCTTCTGATTCAGCTCTGTGACCTTTTTGCGATGCATATCTGCTGCGACGGTTTTTGTCGCGAGGTCTTTTTCAAGTGAGTTCTGTAAAGCAAAAGTAAGTCTTCGTGGAAAGCAAACGAAAAACAAACCAGCTGCCCCGTCAACAAACGCTCGCGCTCTTCTAATCTGCGAATCTGCTCCAACTGTCTCTCCGACTGGCGCTTAAGGGCGATTACTTGGTTATTGATCATGTTGCGCTCTCTCGTAAGCTTCTCGCACTTCTGGTCGAACTTCGTTCGCTGAAAGAGAATCAGATACAACTGAGGAGGAAGAAACAACCAACCTCTGTGATTAGCTTCAAAATCTGTTCTTCCTTCTCGGCTAAGTTGAACACTTTGCTCTGGTTCTGTGTCTCCAAATCCGTCCAGGCCGCCGAGAGACTTTCAATTTCTTGGACAAGACGAACCTCACTCTGATAAGGTATGATGTGAGTCAAGGTCGAATGAAACGGAAAAAAGTCACCTTTTGATAAAAGTCGATTTTGATCTCTAATTCAGCAACGGCTTTCGTCGCCTCAGGGTTCACTGAAGCTAATTCTGACTTGACCTTCTCCAGTTCAGATCGGAGTTCGCTTTCAGAGAAAAGAATCTGGCAGATTTCCGAGTCAGATTCATAAATTACAATCCAGAACTCACTTCTTGCTTTTCACGAAGATCGCGAGTGGTATTTTCGAATGAGCGTAGGAGCTGCTCCAAATCTGACACCTTTCCTTCCGAAATACTGCGACACTTCAATTTAACCCCACGAACAACATCAAAAGAAGCAACGTACTCTAATCGCCGTTTGAGTTCCGAGAATACGTTTGAATCTCCGTCCGTCATAGCATCAGAAGCGAAATATTCCCTCAAGAATCCATCCACATTGTTTCGCGCTAATTCAAGTTTCAGTCGTTCTATTTTGCTTTCAAGCTCTTGAATCTTGCTCTACTCAGCTCGTCAGTTCGTAAACTATCAGTAAATGATCCCCAAACCTTCTGCGATCCCGCTAAAAACATGATTTCTTTGTGATGATGGACTTCCAACGACTCCTTCTCTTTTTGAATCTGCGCTGCTTCTTGAAGGCTGTCCCGATGCGTTCGAACTCGAGCCAGGTCAGTTTCCAGCTTTTTGAGCTCCCCTTCAAGCACCTTTCGTCGGTCACGTTCTTCAGTCTGTGAAGAAACGAATGATTAGGTCGATATGCACGGTTAAAATTATAGTCAGCCGGTCAGACGTACTTCAATAGTATCAAATAGCTTCTTTTGCTCGGACCTCATTTCCGCAACTTCAACTTGAAGCTCATCCGCCCGCTTTTTATGCGTCAAGTATTGTGCATGAGTCCACTCCATCCGCTCTTCCAACGAAGCCAGCACCGACTGTCGCACCAGTGTTTCACCTGGCTGGAACCCCTGTGAGCGAAGTAAGCAAACGAAAACAGTTTAACGGCCCTTTATGGGACTTACATGGTTAACTTTGAACGCCTCAAATGCTTGTGCGAGTTCCGTTTTCTCCGCTACAAGCTGTTCGATTTCTTTCAAACGAGATTGCGCCAAGGTTTCCCACTCGGAGTTGACAGGAAACGGATCATTCAGCACGACAGGTGGAGTGGCGCCATTCATATCCAGGGAAGTGCTGCTGGATCCAGCGGAGCTCAGCAATTGAGATTGAGGAGGCCCAATCAGCGCATCTGCGGGTTGAGGCAAGGGATGTGGCGTGGAGTCAAGCTTAAGTCGATCATACTTCCGTTCGATAGAGAGCTTCGCACTTTTCACCACTTCGAATTCCGACAAAAGATCTTGCAGCCTTTGCGACTGAATGATGGATGCGGATTTAAGTTCAGAGTTCTATGTTGGAGTGGTTGTGTGAGTTCATAGAACTGAGAAGCTGGGAAGCGAGACGACATACTTCAACCGCCAAAGTATGGCAACGAGATTGAAGTCGATTCAGCTGGTCATTTGAGGAGTTGACACGGTCGGGAGACTGAAGGATGGCAACGACTTTGGCTATATGTTTGTTGATTTCCGACCGACTCGAATTAATTGATTCGTTAGCCGTAGAAACAGATCCATCTTGCATAATCGTGCGTACGAAAGACGTGTCTGGAGGGAGTGAGCCCATGGGAGACTGCGACAGAATTGACACATACCATTACGGTTTGAAACGTCTGTGTCAGCATCCTCTATTCCAGGTAACATCGATAAATCTTCGGAGATCTGTGGGTATAATTTGTTGCTGTTAGGATAACGTATTTATGGTCTGTAGGGGTGGTTTAGGAGAGACAAAACGAAGGGAGTAACCACACACCTGCGAGAGACATTGCACGAACGATGTCAGACAGGCTTCAAAGTCTCGTTGCTTGGTTTCCAACGACTGCGACTTCTCCAGTGAGTCTTGATATAAACGGCGATACTCAAGCATCCGACGATAGATTGCGTTCTTCTGAAACGCCACAGTAGCGTCCTATCGTATCAACACAATTAAACTAAGCCGTGGAAGAGCAGCATCAGTACCTGGTCGCCCAAGAGTTCTGGTTTGGGATAGAGTTGGGTGTCCACCGAGTCCAATCCATCCACCAACTCCGTCTTGACATATTTTGTCGGCGGTTCGCTCTCTTTGTCTTTGTCCTTATCCACCGCTGGTGCAGGACGAAAGAGGCGCTTCATTAGTTGCAAGCGGAACGACCTTTTTCACTTCGACAAAAAGAACCAACCACCAACTCCAACACAATCACCCGACGGCTATCGCCAGCCAGCCCAATTATACATTTACAGAATTAGCATTCCTCATATCTAAAAAAATGACATAGTCTCAGTATTTGAGTGGGAATTTTAAACCGTTCACTAAACTCCTTTGTGCTGAGAAGTAACATGACATACATACAGCCGCTATGAGCTGTGAAATATTTCCAACAACAAAATGACTGGTAACCAAATCGGAATGTCGTTGGCCTCTAAGTCAGGACCAAGTCAGGACGCACCGGTTCAAAACACATAGAGAGGAGAGGGTAAAATGGAAGAAAGAAAGGGAAAGAGATGAACGAGAGGGTAGAAAGGAAGAGGAGAAAGGGAGAGAGAGAAAGACGGAGAAAAAAGGAGAAAGAGAGAAGAGTTTTGTTTGTTTGTGTTTCCAATGCATGAACGCAGGAATGTATTATGATTTGCCGTAGTTGTACTAACCTTTCTAGAATTATGGCATTCCTGCAGAATTTTGCTATTTTGTACTTGTACAATCACGCTTATTGCGTATGTTTGTTGCTTGTGCAAAACTCTGGTAAAGGAATTTATTTGTCAATCTAAATTATTACATCCATTCCTTAGTTTTTGAAATTGTCAATTTCTTGATGCTGTACTGCATATATGAGTGCATTATGCTTCTTTTTGGAATGACAATATAACTCAAGGTTACTGCCACTGTTGACAGATATGAGTTTGTAAACCCAATGTCAAGCTGTGCAAAGAGAACCAAACCTGCACAAATGTTATTTACTTTGTTTCTCAAGAAGATTGTGTACTCTGTGTTGTTATTGCAATTATATTTCTTGCATTAAATGGGTGGATGCATTTGACGTGGAATGAAATTATTGTAAGGCAATTGCAACAGGGCTCATTTGACAGTAACATGGTTTGGCATAGATGTGTAGCAATAACAGTTCTTATTCATTAAAAGAAAAGAAATTGGATTTGTTTTATTGGTACATTGAAATCAGTGTGAGAAGCATTGGTGCCCATTACAACTTTCTAAAGGAGTTGTCAATGAAATAATGTTTCTTGAGGGCAATGTTGACAACGAGGATACCTTATTCATTCCATCCTGCATCTGCAATGATGGTTTAGTGGTATAATTATCGCCTGCCACGCGGTAGTCCCGGGTTCGATTCCCGGTCATTGCAGCCTTTTGAATATCTGCTTTTCTCTTCTCCTTTATTGTGTAGGTTGAGTGAGTAAAACAATATGGAAGGAATAAGAAAATGTTCTCGCCCAGGTTCGAACTGGGGACCACCAGTGTGTTAGACTGGTGTGATAACCTACTACACCACGAGAACGGCAAGCCCAACGTGGGGGTCGAACCCACAACCTTGAGATTAAGAGTCTCACGCTCTACCGATTGAGCTAGCTAGGCAGGTGACAATGCTCTCAGATAAGTCTCCAGGAATATTGTTCTACATTTGCATTTCTAAGGTGGAATCTGTTGTCATCATAGATGGCTTCTGATTGCTCTCACTTCCTTACTACAGAGAAAACTCAACAAAACCTTCTCTCTGCCTTTCTTGCCTCCCTTAAGAGTGCATAACCTAACAATAAAATGAACAGAGTGGGATTCGAACCCACGCCAATTGCTTGACTGCAACTTGAGTGCAGCGCCTTAGACCGCTCGGCCATCTGTCCAATTGGAGAACCTGGGCATTGATCCCAGTGCCTCTCGCATGCTAAGCGAGCGCTCTACCATTTGAGCTAGATCCCCTGATTGGTCGCCCTCCGATATACCATTTCCGAACCTTTTTCTTTACCTGCTTTGTGAAAGCTGCTTATTTTGCCAATCGACAAGGTTAGTATTTAAATTCAACGAGTAAAAGCAAATGTAAGAAATTGCAAATGACTTGTAATGTATGAATAAGACGAGAGGGTAGAAAGGAAGAGGAGAAAGGGAGAGAGAGAAAGACGGAGAAAAAAGGAGAAAGAGAGAAGAGTTTTGTTTGTTTGTGTTTCCAATGCATGAACGCAGGAATGTATTATGATTTGCCGTAGTTGTACTAACCTTTCTAGAATTATGGCATTCCTGCAGAATTTTGCTATTTTGTACTTGTACAATCACGCTTATTGCGTATGTTTGTTGCTTGTGCAAAACTCTGGTAAAGGAATTTATTTGTCAATCTAAATTATTACATCCATTCCTTAGTTTTTGAAATTGTCAATTTCTTGATGCTGTACTGCATATATGAGTGCATTATGCTTCTTTTTGGAATGACAATATAACTCAAGGTTACTGCCACTGTTGACAGATATGAGTTTGTAAACCCAATGTCAAGCTGTGCAAAGAGAACCAAACCTGCACAAATGTTATTTACTTTGTTTCTCAAGAAGATTGTGTACTCTGTGTTGTTATTGCAATTATATTTCTGCATTAAATGGGTGGATGCATTTGACGTGGAATGAAATTATTGTAAGGCAATTGCAACAGGGCTCATTTGACAGTAACATGGTTTGGCATAGATGTGTAGCAATAACAGTTCTTATTCATTAAAAGAAAAGAAATTGGATTGTTTTATTGGTACATTGAAATCAGTGTGAGAAGCATTGGTGCCCATTACAACTTTCTAAAGGAGTTGTCAATGAAATAATGTTTCTTGAGGGCAATGTTGACAACGAGGATACCTTATTCATTCCATCCTGCATCTGCAATGATGGTTTAGTGGTATAATTATCGCCTGCCACGCGGTAGTCCCGGGTTCGATTCCCGGTCATTGCAGCCTTTTGAATATCTGCTTTTCTCTTCTCCTTTATTGTGTAGGTTGAGTGAGTAAAACAATATGGAAGGAATAAGAAAATGTTCTCGCCCAGGTTCGAACTGGGGACCACCATGTGTTAGACTGGTGTGATAACCTACTACACCACGAGAACGGCAAGCCCAACGGGGGGTCGAACCCACAACCTTGAGATAAGAGTCTCACGCTCTACCGATTGAGCTAGCTAGGCAGGTGACAATGCTCTCAGATAAGTCTCCAGGAATATTGTTCTACATTTGCATTTCTAAGGTGGAATCTGTTGTCATCATAGATGCTTCTGATTGCTCTCACTTCCTTACTACAGAGAAAACTCACAAAACCTTCTCTCTGCCTTCTTGCCTCCCTTAAGAGTGCATAAACCTAACAATAAATGAACAGAGTGGGATTCGAACCCACGCCAATTGCTGACTGCAACTTGAGTGCAGCGCCTTAGACCGCTCGGCCATCTGTCCAATTGGAGAACCTGGCATTGATCCAGTGCCTCTCGCATGCTAAGCGAGCGCTCTACCATTTGAGCTAGATCCCCTGATTGGTCGCCCTCCGATATACCATTTCCGAACCTTTTTCTTTACCTGCTTTGTGAAAGCTGCTTATTTGCCAATCGACAAGGTAGTATTTAAATTCAACGAGTAAAAGCAAATGTAAGAAATTGCAAATGACTTGTAATGTATGAATAAGACGAGAGGGTAGAAAGGAAGAGGAGAAAGGGAGAGAGAGGAAAGACGGAGAAAAAAGGAGAAAGAGAGAAGAGTTTGTTTGTTTGTGTTTCCAATGCATGAACGCAGGAATGTATTATGATTTGCCGTAGTTGTACTAACCTTTCTAGAATTATGGCATTCCTGCAGAATTTTGCTATTTGTACTTGTACAATCACGCTTATTGCGTATGTTTGTTGCTTGTGCAAAACTCTGGTAAAGGAAGTTATTTGTCAATCAAAATTATTACATCCTTTCCTTAGTTTTTGAAATTGTCAATTTCTTGATGCTGTACTGCATATATGAGTGCATTATGCTTCTTTTTGGAATGACAATATAACTCAAGGTTACTGCCACTGTTGACAGATATAAGTTTGTAAACCCAATGTCAAGCTGTGCAAAGAGAACCAAACCTGCACAAATGTTATTTACTTTATTTCTCAAGAAGATTGTGTACTCTGTGTTGTTATTGCAATTATATTTCTTGCATTAAATGGGTGGATGCATTTGACGTGGAATGAAATTATTGTAAGGCAATTGCAACAGGGCTCATTTGACAGTAACATGGTTTGGCATAGATGTGTAGCAATAACAGTTCTTATTCATTAAAAGAAAAGAAATTGGATTTGTTTTATTGGTACATTGAAATCAGTGTGAGAAATTGGTGCCCATTACAACTTTCTAAAGGAGTTGTCTATGAAATAATGTTTCTTGAGGGCAATGTTGACAACGAGGATACCTTATTCATTCCAGCCTGCATCTGCAATGATGGTTTAGTGGTATAATTATCGCCTGCCACGCGGTAGTCCCGGGTTCGATTCCCGGTCATTGCAGCCTTTTGAATATCTGCTTTTCTCTTCTCCTTTATTGTGTAGGTTGAGTGAGTAAAACAATATGGAAGGAATAAGAAAATGTTCTCGCCCAGGTTCGAACTGGGGACCACCAGTGTGTTAGACTGGTGTGATAACCTACTACACCACGAGAACGGCAAGCCCAACGTGGGGGTCGAACCCACAACCTTGAGATTAAGAGTCTCACGCTCTACCGATTGAGCTAGCTAGGCAGGTGACAATGCTCTCAGATAAGTCTCCAGGAATATTGTTCTACATTTGCATTTCTAAGGCGGAATCTGTTGTCATCATAGATGGCTTCTGATTGCTCTTACTTTCTTACTACAGAGAAAACTCAACAAAACCTTCTCTCTGCCTTTCTTGCCTCCCTTAAGAGTGCATAACTGAGATTATGCACAATAAAATGAACAGAGTGGGATTCGAACCCACGCCAATTGCTTGACTGCAACTTGAGTGCAGCGCCTTAGACCTGCCGAACATCGGACCTCTATAAAATTTTTTGTCCAAACCGGGCCAACAACCGGCCACCACCCAAATCCCCAACGCAACACAAAAATCCCTTCTTCAGAAAGACACACTGCATAGGATATTCTACGCGTGTATTGCGGAGAAACGAAGATCGTGGGTCCTCTAAGAAGTCTGTTTGGTGCTATTATGCCCGTGTTTAACCGCCTGCCGTGTACAGGCTTCCAATTTTTGGATGAAAACATGATAATAAATATTACTCTATTCATAATGTACAGGAAAGGCAGGATTCATGCGCGCGCTCTCCAAAGATGATACAGGCTAAATACCAAACTCAGACAAAAGCAACCATTAGCAACAAATATCCGCAAACGTAAGGCGGTCTGCAAATACTGAGTGTGATGTTGAATATAAAGGCCCGGACCGTGTCGGAATCGATACAGATGTTGCAGAGCCCAGACCACAATTTTTCACGTAACAACACGACAATGCTTTCGTACGAAACTGAAAGCAGCACGTCGAAAGGACTTGATTGATGCTGCCATTGCAGTATGCGATAGCTTCAATATACACAATGTGCTTGTTAAGCACATCTCGTCGTTCATATCGGAAATAGGTTTGTATGTGCTTGGTCGGTAGAGAGAGACTAACAAGATATTTAGCACAGAGTCACACGCTACCTAAAGAATGCCACCTTTTCCTCATTCTCTCAATCACAGGATTTTTTCTAGACCGTGTTTTGGTAGCAACGAGTGGAACGAAGTGACTGTCATTTGGCCAGTTATTGCAGCAGGTGTGAGCAGTGGGAAGTCGGCTGTTCATCGGTACATTATGGCTGAGCTCCAAACACTAATCAATGAGGGCCTTTTGGATGAAGACTACATTATGCAAATATTTACACCTGAGGGATTCATTTCTACGCTGGCTGCAAATGATGGAAATGGCCTTGGCGTATTAGATGAGTTTGCAACACTCTTCAAACAACTATCGTCCAAAAGACCAACAAGGATGTTAATACTGCAAACATGACTGCTTGGTTGAGTATTTATGATGGAGGCTCCGTTATGAAGAATCTTGTGTCGAAGAAAATTGGTTTCGATAAGTCAAATGTTGTTTTTGCTGGTTTCAT